CGAAGTCACGGGCGTCCCCGAGCTTGGTTCGCGACAGGCGCGACCTCGGCCGGTCTTGAAAAGGGCCCAGGATTCAGGGTTTAGGGTTTCGAGTTTAGGGTTTAGGGACCCTAAACCCAATACCCGAAACCCTAAACACTAAACCCTTGTAAACCCTAAACCCTAAACCCTATTTGCACCCTGTGAGAGTCTTAGGGAGCCCTCAGGATTGCGAACCCACCCTGGGACTTTCCAGGATTGTGGCGATGGCCTGATGTTTTGGGACCAAGAGAACCCTAAACGGGAATTTGGGCGGTTTCCAGGGTCTGCGGCCTTCCACTTGGACAGCCTCACGTGTGGGTGGTAGCGGGGGTGGTAGGTAGGGGTGGTGGTCGCGGTGGTGGTCGGGGTGGTGGGGGTGGTGGGGGTGGTGGGGGTGGTGGGGGTGGTGGGGGTGGTGGGGGTGGTGGGGGTGGTGGGGGTGGGGGTGGCGGTGGTGGGGGTGGTGGTGGGGGTGGTGGTGCTGGCGGTGGTGGTGCTGGTGGTGGTGGTGCTTGTGCTGGTGGTAGTGGTGGTGGTGGGGGTGGTGGGGGTGGTGGGGGTGGTGGGGGGGTGGTGGTGGGTGGTGGTGGGGTGGTGGGAAAGGGGTGGTGGTGGGGCTTGGCTCGTGGGGTGGTGGGTGGGGGGGGTTGAGGTGGTGGGAGGTTAGGGATGGGTGGGGGCCAAGAGGGTAATTGGGGGTGGTGTGGTACCGTACCGATCCGCGCCGGTACCACCAAATCGTTACAGCCATGATCACCCTCCAGATGTGCAAGTGTTTTGTACTCAGAAGCCTTGGTGACTTGATGGCTTCATCATCTTCGGAGATCTCCTCAAGAACACCGCTGTCGCAAAGCGCATTTCGTAAGGATTGAGCCAAGCATCCTGATATGTCTTCGGCTAGATATCTGTCCCTCAATATGCTGAACATAATGAGTAGCAGGCCCCTACTCAAGAAAGAACGAAAGCTCCCACCCCCTCCCTCGACCAACCTTTCCCGTAAACAACACACACAAATATTCTAACGATGCTCCAAACCCTCTCGACCCAGAACCCTTAGAGTTTGAACTCTGCAAGGGTTCAGAGAGCCTAAAACCCTAAACCCTAAACCCTAAAACCCTCAAGCCTAAACCCTAAAACCCTAAACCCTAAGAGCCCTCAACCAGCGCTGTCATACAACTTACAACCCCTCTCCGAGGCCCCGGCATCTGGTGTCAGACTGTGCCCGGGCGACTCATCCATTCAGCATCTCTACTGGGAGAGGCTTTGGGGGCTTGGGGCCTTCGGGTGTCCAGATCTTCGGATTCAGAGGGTTTAGGGTTTAGGGTCTCGTTTTTGAGGGTCTATAGGGTTTCGGGAGTCGGGTGTCGTTGTTTAGAATTTCTTTAGGGTCGGATGGCATGAGATTTCGTCTAGTTGAGGGACTCTGCGCTTCATGTTGTTCAGGTTTGTGGGCTAGGGACTTAGTGGCTTCGGGGGTCTAAGCTCTGGGTTTAGGGTTTCGGGTTTGAGGTTTAGGGTTGTCCCGTGTCGAATCATGCCTGCTATGAAAGTAAGCCAGCTTGAAGGGAGGCCGTCGGCAAGCCGTTTAGGGTCAAGGGTTTAGGGTTATCGCAAATTGTGTTGAGAGGGGTACGGCTTATCATCATGTACGCCACTCTCAGAATTCGCAAAAAAAAAGTAAATGTCTGCCGCAGGAATGCACGGCCGATGCACACACACGTCTCGCCGGAATTCTCTGCGACTGTCTGTCTTGCAATTTACATGAACATACTTTGCATTTCAACTGAAGAATGCTGTTGCCAGATGCGGTGCTTCCTACCGTCCGCATATACGAGAACATGCGGTTGTTCTCTGGCAAGGTCATGGGTCCAATTGGGTTTTCAGGAATAAGGGTTTAGGGTTGAGGCTATATACGAAAATCGAGACCCCCCCCCCCCCCCCCCCCCCCCCAAGGGAATTCGAAGCTAATTCAGAAGCACGCCCCTGCCCAATATGCACTTTCTGGTCGTTAGTTCATTAGTTCGACTTCGGCAGACCGTGAAAAGCAACCCGCCCAACCGCAACACCACCAAACAAACCCAAACCTAAACACTCAACCCTATAGACCCTCAACCTCGCCCCTACGCCCTTCCAACCCTAAACCCAGAACCCTATCAACCCTGCAACCTGTAAACCCTAAACGCTAAAAGCCTCAACCCTGGATGTAAACCCCAAACCGCATAAGTCCTAGACCCTCTAAATCCTAGACCATCTAGACCCTCTAGACCCTAAACCCTCCAAAGCCCCATAAGCCCTATAAACCCTAAACCCTACAGATCGGAGACCCTCCCCTCAATTAGGGCTGAGGCCAGCAACGTAAGAGAGCCGACGTAAGAGAAAAAGATGGTATTGGGGCACACGTTTTGGGGATTAGAGGGTGGGGAACCCCTAAGGTTGTACCCAGAATATACTCCTAATATGCGGCCCTTATACTACCTGAAGGATCTTTACAAATGGTCCCCAAACCCAAGGGGACCACCTGAAGCGTCCCGGGCAGAGTCCCGTGGTCTTAGACCCCCCGATTGAAAGAGCTAATGAACCCCCCAACAGACGACGTCAGTTCAGGTTACGTCTCAGCGTGTCGGGTTGCATGTTGTGGGGTTTAGGGGTGTACTATATGGGCCTTAATAATTAGTTAGGGGTCTATTATAGTATAATCAGAGAAAGTTACCACAAGGGAATGCTGTAAGTAATGATTCCGACACCTATAGTAGCCTTCACACCAACAGGGGATCAGCCGGCGAAGTGCTCAAGACGCCTGGTGTCAGCTTGGCGGGATCAGGGACCTGTGGATAATCAACTTCAAACCCTAATGCAAGCCTGTACCCTAAACCCTTAACCCTAAACCCTAAATAGCCCCTAAGCGACCCTAGCCTCCCAAAAGGTGCTTGACATCCGTACGAATTTCATGCCGAGCTTGGGCGCTCTCGCGACCTACCCAGGCCCAGCGCCTCCAACAAAGCAGGCGTCCTCGAATGGCGACTTGATACCTCTAAACCCTAAACCCTAAACGGTTAAACCCTAAACCCTAAACCCTTCTGCGAGAAACACGGCGGCCCTATGTGGGCCCTGGATTCTTGAGTTTAGGGCTACAGTATAGGGTTTAAACCCAAGTTTTTTTGCAGATCTTTGGGCAAAGAGGTCCTGAGCCCCCCTCCCTTAAGGTAGAACTTCCATATCCCTAACCCTAAACCCTAAACCCTAAACCCTAAACCCTAAACCCTAAACCCTAACCCTAAACCCTAAACCCTAAACCCTGGAAACTCCTAGGTGCGCCCCACTTGGCTTGGGCCGGCCGAGGCGGGGCACCGCCCACAATGATTCCAACAGGGTTTAGGGTTTAGGGTTTTGGGTTCACCCTGAGAAACATGCGAAAGTTTTGAACATTGAGCCTCCCTCAAAACCTACCCTCCCAAGTTCCAAATTCCAACTAAGGTCCCTAAGACCTTAGAACGGCGAATCTTCCGGGAAACCAAACCCTAAACCCTAAACCCTAAACCCTAAACCCTAAACCCTAAACCCTAAACCCTAAACCCTAAACCCTAAACCCTAAACCCTAAACCCTAAACCCTAACCCCCAACTATCTCTCTCTCTCTCTCTATATATATATATATATGTATATCCTCCGGTCCTCACAGAGCGCGCCGGCCGGATTTTTTGGCCCCAGAAGAGTAGATGCAAGAACTCCGCGAAGCCAAAGAATATCTGAGCCACGCCATATGGGGGTTTAGGGTTTAGGGTTTAGGGTTTAGGGTTTGGGGGTAAGCCCAACTATTTCGGGGTCTATATTGGGGTTTCCTATTTTTTGGTAACCCCCCATACGGTGCGGTTCGGTGAGTTGAGGTTCGCAGAGTTTAGGGCTCAGAGTTTATAATAGGGCTTAGGGCCCTTTCTGGACAGCCACCCTAAACCCTAAACCCTAAATCCTAAACCCTAAACCCACCTAAACCCTAAACCCCTAACCCTTAAACCCAAGCAGAGGATGACTTACAAACTCAGATGCCAAAAAGGGATCACGAACGGACCATATTCTCCTCGGGCCCCCCCCAACCCTCCCCTGCTGTGAGGAAACCCAGGAGTCCGATTAGGGTTTAGGGTTTCGGGTTAAGCGTGTAGGGTTTCGGGTTTCGGGTTTAGGGTTTCGGGCGTCGCATTCAGTGCTTCGGGTTTGGGAGGTCAGGATTTGGGGTTTCGGGCGCAGGCATTCCGTATCAGGTATACAGGGGCTTCTGGGCTGGGGCCTGCCACACCCTACATCTTAAACCCTAGAGTCTTCAACCTGATTCTTGGGGGGCTCAGGTCAAGCTGGAGCGACAGATTCGCGCTGCTTTTGAAATTGAGGGCTTGGTTGGGTTCTAGCACATTTGAAAAGCTTGGGGCTTGGAGGTATAGCAAATTGACAAAAAAAAGCGGCCCCTGGCTTCGTGGGATCTTGTAGGGAATTCGGGAACGAGGTTTAGGGTTTAGGGTTTAGGGTTTAGGGTTTAGGGGTTAGGGTTTAGGGTTTAGGGTTTATAGGGTTTAGGTTCCCACAGTGCTTCTTCCGCAGCCTTCGGCAGGCTTTCTTTCTTCGGACATTGCCTCGTCCAAGCAGTGGGAAACTAGTGACGACCTCCCCCCTGGTATCGGGTGGGCGACGAGTTCATCTAAAGCGAACAGGTACGACCAAGCCTCTTTGAGGCTGCCTTGGAAATCTTGCAACACTGAGCCACGCGTCCTCGATCACGTAACACTGAGCCACGCGTCTTCGATCACGTTGGGCGAAACTTTGGGCGAAACTTGCCATTTGAGAGGCGAAAGCTTACCATTTGCGAGGGTTTAGGGTTTTGGGGTTTGGGGTTGAGGTCCTTCAGGTTGGGATGCTCCCGCTTATGCCAACTAACAGTCCTTAACAGGGATTCTAGTGCCCCTAAGGAGAAGCATCCCAGCCTTTTAGGGTTCAACTGCATGTCCAGGGCTGCGACCACACCACAGCATCGGCCAGTCTGAGTGAGGGAGGGATGGGTGCTGGGCAGACAGCCAGAGTAAAGCCCGCGCCTAGGGGCAGCCACATTAGGACCAAGATGATGCAAGAGGTGATGTGCATCAGCGTAGTATACAGGAAACGGGTCATCGGACGTGTCCCATGCAACCGGAGGGGTGGCAACTGCGCGTCCACCCCTCGGTGGTCTTTGCACATGGCTTGCTTCGGGTGGAAAGGATGCAGTGGCTCATACCTTTTGTGTGCTCTTGACATGTACGTGGCGAACACAAAGCATATAGGGTCTCTCAACCCCCCCCCCCCCCCCCCCAACCAAAAAAAAACATGGCTACTCAAAATGGCGTAGATGCAGGTGCTGGATTCGGACACGCCATGGATCCAACGGCAACAGGCGACAAAGCACGATAGCATCCTCGGTGAGCTCGCCCTTGGACTGGGAACGGCTGAGGGCGGCTCGAACGAGGCGACGAATCTCTGTTGTTGGGCAAATTCTGCGCAACCTGCCCTACTTTCTTAATCACTCTGACTCGGATCACGTGAGGCCGGGATCTTACGATCAGCACGATGTTCACTAACTACGGAACTATGACAAGAATGATCTGTCTGACATTGATCGTTTGCGTGCTTCTCCCCCGTGAAACGGACTTCGCCTTCGTGTCTGCATACTGCTCCTTTCCTTCGTAAGGTATAGGTCGTGCGGTCCGAAAAAGTGCAGAAACCAAACGAACTGGATCAACTCTTGACTGCGGGGTGGGTGGTCCCTACATGCGGGTCCCTCTTGGGTACGGACCCTCAAGCGTAACCCCCCCCCCCCCCAACAAAAAAAAAAAACACACACAAAGCGTACTTCCTAAACATGATCCTCTTCAACCCAATAATTAGGGGAAAAGACAAGATATTCAAGGGTTTAGGGTTTAGGGTTTAGGGTTTAGGGTGTTCCTCAAAACAAGCTCATCTTAAACCCAATAGGGGAAAAGACAAGATATCCCAAGGGCCTAGCTAGTACTGATGGTCCGCGAAGTTGCGAGAAAGAGCACGACCAGCAACACCAGCGAGTGCGTGTTGAACAGGGGCTCGGACTTGAGCCATAGAACTCGCCTAGGGTGGCCCCTAGAACCCTCTCAAAAATATTCCTGAATATGACCCTCTTAAGTCCAGAGAAGGGAAAATACTCCTGAATAAAACCCAAACAAGGGAACATATTCCTGAGTATGATCTTCTTAAGTCCAAATAAGGGACAATATTCCTGAATGTGACCCATTATGCTAACGGAAATTTATGAAATGTCCCAAGGCCGAACGAGTCGCCACAGGACATAGGACCAAGCAGGAAGGAAGCGATAGTAGCCGCAAGCCACACGGGCATGCCGGTGGATCATGCTGCAGCAGCCGGGGCGGAGCCAGCGAACGCCACGTGGGAAGGCCCAAGCAACGACACTGACCTCGGGTTTAGGGTTTAGGGTTTAGGGTTTAGGGTTTAGGGTTTAGGGTTTAGGGTTTAGGGTTCGGATCGTTGCAAGAATGTTCTGTCTCTTGTGGCTCTCAAGAACAGCCAAGGGGCGTGGTAGCCGTGCCGAAACACCAGGTTATTGAGCATCATGATCAGCAAGCCTGGCCAGGGAAGTTATGTGGTGAGTTCTGAATTGTGGGGGCCCTTCTTGGGTGCCCTAAATAAGATCGGCCGCCTTTTAGCAAGAATCCCTAAAAGGGACCATACTTTGGAGAAGTGACCATGCTGAGGTTGGGATGGTGTCAAAAAAATTTAGGGTTTAGGGTTTAGGGTTTAGGGCACGTGGCTGTTTCAGAGACCCTAAACCCTCTAAGTCGCATGGTGCCAGACCCATGCCAAGGCTCCCGGAACCCTTAAGACTGTTTGTATAGGTTTAGGGTTTAGGGTTTAGGGTTTAGGGTCTAGGGTTTAGGGTTTAGGGTTTAGGGTTTAGGGTTTAGGGTTTAGGGTTTAGGGTTTAGGGTTTAGGGTTTCGGGTTTCGGGTTTAGGGTTTAGGGTTTAGAGTTTAGAGTTTAGGGTTTGGGGGGTACATCCTAAAGGAAGGTCCTCCCATATGATGTATGCCGTTTATAGGGCATAAGCCAGTACCCCAGACTAACCTGGAAAGCACGGCTATGTTGCTGAGATGGGATTATGGGGGATCCCATCCCGTACCAAGCAACTGACCAGTCTCACAGGAACTTGAGGCTTTTCCAAAAACCCTAAAACCCTAAACCCACCTCACCCTTGAACCTAGACCCTAAGCCCTGAACCCCAAAGCGTCTGTAGGAGGGTCCTCAGCCCTAGGGAAGCATGGATGATGGGTGGCTCTCTAAATTAGGGTCCCCTGCTGCAGTTCCTTTTTTAAGCCTTCCGTGCCATATACCCCAAGTCCTAAAACCTAGTTTCTAGGAATAGCAAGGGTGCCCTGTTTGATTTAAAGGGGATGATAACAGAGCCTAAACCCAAAAAAGAGGAAACAAGAGCCGAATCACCCTGGGTCGAACTACCCCGATGGCAAGCCTACCCCGCGAGATTGCTTGGGGGTTCAGGGTTTCTGAGCCTCCCAACCCGAAAATGCCGAGCTCTAAGCCAGCCCTACACCCTAAAACCTAAAGAACCCTAAACCCTTGAAGCCCTAAACCGAACCGAGGGACTTCCCAGCCATTGCCAACGCCAGCTCGGGCTGCGGATCGCCCCGCAAAGGATGCTGACCAAACCTTGGTAGCCCTAAACCCTAAACCCTAAACCCTAAACCCTAAACCCTAAACCCTAAACCCTAAACCCTAAACCCTAAACCCTAAACCCTAAACCCTAAACCCTTGAGGCAACAAAAAGGGCAAAGGGCACCACTGGGCTACCAAGAAACGTGAGCCTTCGGCGATAGCATGGGCCCATCCAATCCTGGGCGGGGAAGCCAATTAAGAACTGCCCGTGGCTCGGCATCCGGATCCCTAAACCCTAAACCCTAAACCCTAAACCCCCTAAACCCTAAACCCTGAATCCTAAACCCTGAACCCTGAACCCTCAACCCATGGTTGTTATGGCTTGACGATTTTAAAGTGTCGGAATAGGTTTCAGGGGGTCCCGGATGGCCCCTGTCAAGACTGCCGACGGTCAGTGAGGAAAGACACATCCACGGGCTATGCAAGGACCACCGCAACATGAAGAGGTTGCGCTAAATCAGTGTATACTGACCAACTGCACTGCAATAGGCCCCCTCAACCCTCAACTAACCCTCAACCCTAAACCCCAAACCATAAACCCGGAACCCTCAACCCAAAACCCAACCGCGCTGCGGAATCGGGCCGAGGCGGGTCGCGTAGCGTTAAAAACAAGCCTCAGTGAACGATGGTTAACAGAAAACTCTGAACGTACGAGAACAATCCGATTGTGCGATGCAGGAAGCAGTTCCATAAGTTCCGAATTCATTCAACCACTTCTCAAGATGACCCGAGAGTCAAGAAAGTCAGGGGAGCATGGTGGTCGCCCTGCACGATGCGCGGCTCATTGCCAGCACGCGGCCAGACAAGCTTCGTGTAGACATTCCTGGGAATAGGGTTTACAAGGGCTGATATAAGGTTGATAGGGCTTGATTACATAGGGTTTATAGGGTTTATGGGTTTTGGGTTGTAGAACGTCAAGCACGATCCTTCTCATCGTCCTTGCTAAACGATAAAAACTGACATCGAACAAAAAAATGGTCTTTTCGATGAAGGGCCCAGATTCTCCATCAGAGCAACAGCCAACAACTCCGAGGCTGAGGTACTCAAGCTCAAGAAGAAGGCCTTAGTTGCAGAAGTGTACACTTGCAGGTCTATGAGGGATTCTAGTATCCCAAAAAATGTAAAGGTGTACTCATTCAGCTACGAAGAGGCTGCCAAGATCGTGCTCACACTATCCAGAAAAACGTAGACCATGATGATGATCCACTGTGCGAAGAGCAGGAGCATGTTCATCAACCACAAGAAGGCCGTCCACAATGCCTGCCTCTTGGTGTCCTGTGCCCTGTTCATGAGCCATGGAGATATGCGGCCACAGCGCTTCACACACAAGCACAGCAGCAACTGCGTGACCGACGACATCTCGAAGCCGATGCATGTCATGACAAAGTACTGTAGGCGCCATCCGCTCCTTTGCAACAGGAAGGCGAACTCGAAAAAAGACCACACGAGTGCACCTGCGAGTATCATGATGACGGCAACGCTTCGCCGAATCGGGTAGCCGAGAAGGCCATCAGCCAACTGCTGCGACCACAGCTGTCCAGTCACTGTCATGGTGCGGGGAAGTTGCCACCACCAATCGACATCCTCCGGCAATACGTGAGACTCGTGCATGTTGAGAAAGATGTATGTACACACATGAACCAGCACAAAGTACGCAGCTGAGACAGCCGTGACAAGGGGGCCACCCCCGTCGATGTACATCTGCGGCTTTGCCTCCTCCTGCTGTACGCCCACATCGATCGTCAACTCCCAGGCTTCTCTGCTTGATGGTTGGGATTGTGGGCATTGGCCGTCCCAGGGCCCGACAGGCAGAACGGCCCCCGACAACTGCCAAGACACCGCGCCCGCGCGCAGAACCCGCACGCCCACACAGCTCCGCCCCTCCAGCACGAGCTCATAGTGCTCCCCCTCAGAGAGGGCCACTACCTCGGGGCCAGCGCGCATGAACCCATAATCTGCGCTGCCGAAGCGGCGTTGCAAGCGGAGAATTTCCGGGCAGCTGCCCTCGCGCGTTCTGGGCGGCGGCAGCCATGTGAAGGTCTCTTGCTTGAAGGGCACCTGGTCGTGTGAGACCGTCACGCTTGGGGACGACTCTGGTGGAACTCGTGTCCAAAGGAGGCACGCCCGGCCGCCAGCACGCAACCGTCGTTGCAGCAGGCGCTCTGCCTGTGGGCCGCTGCCGATGATGATGAGGTTTACATCAAGCAATCGCCAGTGTCTCTCCCCACCACGTGGTTCCTGACTATGTTCCGGTGAGGACTTCTCCGACTCATCCCTACGCTCTGTGGGCAGTTGGATGGGTGGTGGCCTGGGACCGGGTACCAAGGAGAGCATCTCAGGCTTCATTGCCATGGGGTCGAGGGTGACCCCCCCGGGCCCCCCCCCCCCCCAAAAAAAAAAAAAAAAAAAATGCTTTGGGAGTCCTCTTGTCGCGTCTGTCCATAAAGTCGCTTAGGGTCGGGTTTGTTGCTTCCTCTGGCTTTGCTTTTCTGTGCTTAACTGGGGTTCGAGTCATCATGAGGTCTGCCAAAAGAGTTTTCTAGAGAGCTGTTGAAGTCGTGCCCACGGAGGAAGCACAGCCGTCAAGAAATACATCATGCATGGGCATGCTTGTTTGCAAGGGTTAGGGCTACTGGACGAGTGGCGAGTGGTAGAGGAACACGTTGACAAAGCCTTATCGAAAGCCAATCCTCAATGAAGCACAGAATAACAAGCACACGGACACACTTGCGCAGACCCACGAAACCCAACTGCCCCAGCCCTAACTCCTAAACCTTTTAACCATAAACCCTAAGCCCTAGATAAGCCCTAAACCCAAAGCCCTGACAGGCGAAGCTTGTGTGTTTAGGCTGAAATCTAAGCCTGAAAGGGTTCAGGGCCTGGGATCGGGGGCCTACGGCCCACTCTATATATGGTGCCAGCAAACCTAAAGCCGAAACCCGAAAGCCAAAACCCCAAACCCTGCCCTATTGGTAAGAGCCTGCGCTCTTTGCCTCGAAACCTAGGACCCCAATGAAAACCCAAAACCCGAAACCCTGAACTCTAAACCCGGAACCCTAAACCCTAAACCCGAAACCCCAAAAACCGAAACCCGAAACCCTAAACCCTAAACCCTAAGCCCTAAAACCTAAACCCTAAACCCTAAACCCTAAACCCAATAAAATCGGCAGGACTACCGGCCTGGCCGACGGAGGCGCCAAGCCAGGCCGGGCATGCTTCGGAACAGCGTGCGGCCGGAAAAAATCGTTAGGGTTTAGGGTTTAGGGTTTAGGGTTTAGGGTTTAAGGTTTAGGGTTTAGGGTTTAGGGTTTAGGGTTTAGGGTTTAGGGTTTAGGGTTCAGGGTGGGGGGATTAGGGTTCAGGGTTTTGGGCTTAGGGTTGCGGAGAGCCGAAGAATGGTCGTTCTGCATGGCACCGGGCCGGAGCCATCAGGGTTTCGGGTTTAGGATGAAGTTTCTTCTTTGCAAGGCTCCGACGCAGCAAGCACACAGCAACAGCAAGGCGGCGAGCAAAGAAATCCACAGGGCGTAAAGGGTTTAGAGGGTCAGAGGGTTTAGAGGGTTGAGAGAGCGGAGCAGAGTGTCGGGGCTGGACGTGACCCTAACGCGCAGCAAAAGAAAACTCCCCAACCCTCACAAACCTACAAAGGTGTTGAGTCCAGGGCCTCGGATTTAGGCTCGGGCTTGGGGGTTCATTCGGGTTTAGGGTAGATGTTAATGGTCAACCCTATACCTAAACCCTGAATCCTAAACCCTAAACCCTAAACCTGTAACCCCAGATTCCTCATAAACAGAAGATCCTGCAACCCTGTTGGGGACAGCCCGACCCAGAACGCTAAAACCCGAAGAGCCTACAAGGCTGAAAGTTTTGGGGCTCTTTGACTAGGACCCACAGTAGGCCTTCATTCACTGTTTCTAGGGTTTAGGTTCCCTAATAACACCCCCCCCCCCCCCCCCCAAAAGCCTTAAACCTGACTGGCTTTGGTGGACTGCAGTGTGCCCAGGGGAAGCTAGCAATTGCCAACCTCAACCCTGTAAGGTTTAGGGTTTAGGGTTTAGGGTTTAGGGTTTAGGGTTTAGGGTTTAGGGCTTAGGGCTTAGGGCTTAGGGCTTAGGGCTCAGGTGTGGTTTTTGGCTTAGGGTTGCAGGGCAAACTCGTCCAAACGAACTTGAACTCATTCATCATGTGGGTCAAACTCTGAACTACCCTAAGTGAGATCCCCGAACGACTTAAACATCAGAACACCAAGAAAGGGACCCAAATTTAGTGAACTAACCATGTGTGGACTCTTCTCAGTCGTTTTGGGGTTTAGGGCTACATGGGCAGTTTCTTATGTTAGGGTCCTTTTTGGGGTGCCCAAAATAAGGTGGCACCCTTATAAGAAAGGGATCCCAAAAAGGGACCCTCATGTAGAGAACGGCCCGTTAGGATGTTCCGCCTTATACTAACAGTCCTTAATAGGGACTGGAATACTAAAATACTATAATACATAAACCCTATCTAAAACCCTAAACCCTAAACCCTAAACCCTAAACCCTAAACCCTAAACCCTAAACTCCAAATCCCTGCTAAGGACTGTTAGTAAGTCAGTACAAGGGGAACACCCCCAAACTCCCCCGCGCTGCGGCAGAGTCCTTGGACTTAAAGTGCGCCGCCACCGCAGCCACCTGTAGGAGAAGAAGCCCCGCCCTGGGCCCTCTCTCTCTATACCGAAACCGTATAGGGTTTAGGGTTTGGGGTTTAGGGTTTAGGGTTTTAGGGTAACCCTAAACCCCCAACCCTCAACCCTAACGATTCGGGAGAACTTGATGGCTTTGAGGCTTCAGGGTCTAGGATTCATGGGGCTTTGGGGAATGTCGGGTGTTTTTCCCTAAACCCTACACCCTAAAATCGGTCTCCAGGCCCACCCACCAACTTCTCAGGGGTGGCCGCGAAGTCCAACAAGCAAGAACTTCCACCTAAACCCCGTAAACTTTTCAGCCTGGGGGGAACTCTGAGCCCTAAGCCCGAGCTTGCTGGGGTTGGTTAGGCAGATCAGCCCTGGCCCACACGTTCCGGGGGTTGCTCAGTTGTAAGATTTAGCACGTAGAGTTTAAGGTTTTAGGGTTGAGGGCTTCTGGAAATCGGTGAAAAAAAACCGAAGCCCTAAACCCGAATGGCTTCACAAGTGTCTCACAGTTCCGAGGGCGCCACGGCAAAAGCATCGCCAATCTCCTGGACAATCGTGGATCCGATGCTGACACCCAAACCCTAAACCCTAAACTCTAAACCCCAAACCCTAAACAACCCTAAACCCTAAACCCTAAACCCCACATATCCGCCAATCGAGCTGTGTTTTTGGGGGTTGGGGGGGTCTACATTGGTTACGTAGTTTTGGCGGGGGGCCGTGGCCCGAGAAGCCCCCCCCAAAAAACCCTCAACACTAAGACTAATAAGGCCCCTTAGCCCCGAGTAACCCCCAAGCGTCTTTGGGTCTAGAAACCAACATGTGGCCTGGGAGTTGAGAGCTCCCCACTATCCTAGGACGAACAGAATCAGAAAGTACCGTACTTGTGTTCAGTAGATAGCCTAAGCCTGGGGACGAGACGGGACGTCGGATAGCCAACCTTCGTCTAAACAACTGTGTGAAAGGGGCCCTCTCTTCATTCGCCAAGGTGCCTGAAATATGAACAATAACAAGCCTAAGCCCTCAGCCCTAACCCTAAACCCTAAACCCTTTAAACCCTAAGCCCTAAGCCCTAAACCCTAAATCCTAAACCCTAAACCCTAAACCCCAAACCCAAATCCCCAACCCTCCGTGGCCTTCTGCTCCCCTACAACCTCGGACTCGGCTTCTGTGCCCCTGCAGAAGTGTAGGGCTCAGGGTTTCGGGTTCGGTTTGGGTTTTGGGTTTAGGTGTTTAGGGTTTAGGGTTTAGGGTTTCGGGGTTCGGTTTGGGTTTGGGGTTTAGAGATTTAGGGTTTAGGGTTTGGGGTTTAGGGTTTAGGGTTAGGGGTTTGGGGTTTAGGGACTTATGGTTTAGGGTTAGGGTAGGGCTCACGGTTTCGGGTTGGGTTTGGGGTTTAGGGATTTATTGTTTGGGGTTTGGGGTTTAGGGTTTCGGGTTTAGGGTTCGGGGTTTTACGGTTTGAGGTTTAGGGAACCGTACATATTTGCAGCCGTTTAGGGTCTAAGGTTTGGGGTAAGGTTTCGGGCTTGGGAGATGGAGCTAGGGGTTTGCGGTTAGGGCGTGGGACTTTGAGGTTTAGGGTTTAGGGTTTGGGGTTTAGGGTTTAGGCTTTAGGAGTATTTTGAAAGAGGGGCGTGCGAGGCTGGAGATGCTGGGGGGGTTCAGGGGCTTAGGGGTTCGGGGGCTCAGGGGACTCAGGGGGGCTGAGGGTTTTGGGGGTTTGGGGGCTTAAGGGTTTTGGGGCTTAGAGGGTTTAGGGGTCTTGGGGTTTAGGGGTTAGGGCTAGGCCCCTGAAGAGGCCCCATGCTCTCAGACTCCACAGACGTTATTTAAAAAAATCATTTCCCCCCCCCTACAGTTTAGTAGCAGCTACCCCTTAGCTAGTAGGTAGAACCCATAAAGCTGTAGGTAAGGAGAGGTCCCAGGTAGGTCCCCTAGCCTTATCAGCCCAAGAGTCCTGGGGCCGAAATGATGATGAACCAAGGTAGCCCTAAACCCTAAACCCTAAACCCTAAACCCTAAACCCTAAACCCTAAAATTAAAGTACGGTAGCGGAATCCCCCCCCCCCCCCCCCCCTGGTGGACCGAGGCGTCGTCCCGGAGGGCGATGCTGGAAACTCACCAGCATCCTGCAAGGAGATCGAGTTTTGGCGGGAGACCCAAAACGTCTGAGCTTCAGTTTTGGGTAGGGATGGAAGGAAATCCTCAACGAGTAGGATTGAGGGCTAAATCCCACTAGGGTCCAGGCGGAGGACTTTAAGGCTGCATCCTAAACGAACAGGATTTATTAATACGATTTTCGAAAAAGCTCTGCGGGCCGAAAATCGCGAAGATGAGGACTAGATTTTTCAATCCTTGGGTGCCCCTCTACAGGCACCAAAACCTCGCGAAATCGCTTCAACAAAAACACAGAATTGAAGCTGACTCCGTTCCATCCGGGAGGGCAGTGGACATTTGTGCAGACAACTGTCACCTTCGATTAAGAACCCTGAACCCTGATTGTAAGCCCTGAACCCTAAATCCTAAACCCTAAACCCGAAAGCCTCAACCCTTGATGGCCTGCGTCCCTTGCCATTCTGTCTTGCAAGGTGTATCGGTTGCTGGTCATCTTGTGACCGGAAACGCTGTGCCTCACCCTAAACCCTAAACCCTAAACCCTAAGCCCTAAGCCCTCAACCTGGAAACCCTAAGAGTGCCAACTGTGGGTCCCGGTGGCTCGTTGCTGCGGTACAGAGTGTAGGGTTTGTAGGGTTTATGGGGTTTTATAGGGTTTGTTGGGTTTAGGGCTAAGCACACTAAACCCTAACCCTAAACCCTAAACCCTAAACTAACCCTAAACCCCAAACCCTAAACCCTAAACTCTGCCTAAGAACCCAAGGGCCCCCCCCCCCCCCCCCCCCCCCCCACCTCCCACCCCGCAACAGGCCGGTGCCTGGGGTGGAGGCAGCGTCATGGCAGCTGGCGAAAGCGATGGCAAAGACGCGGCCCCATCCTGGCCAACTCTCAGCCTTCTCATAGGGTTTAGGGTTTAGGGTTTAGGGTTTAGGGTTTAGGGTGTTGGGATTAGGGTGTTGGGAGTAGGGTGTTGGGAGTAGGGTTGGGATGTTCCCCCCTTATACTCACAGTCCGGGTATAAGGGCGGCCAGGTTTAGGCGCTTGGGCGTTTAGGGCTAGGGTTTCCGGTCTGTGTAGGGTTTAGGGTTTAGGGTTTAGGGTTTAGGGTTTAGGGTTTAGGGTTTAGGGTTTATAGGGGTATAGAAAAGGGTGTCAGGGTTTACGGTTTGGGGCTGAAGAACTTCGGGTCGGCAAAAAACGATACCTGGAGTGCCCTCAAGAAACCCCAAAGCCCTACAGCCCGAAAACGCACCCCCCCCCCCCCCAACACTCGCAACTCCTAAACGCCATGGGCCCAAAACTCCAAACTTGCAATTAAACCTTACACCCTAACCCGCTAACCCGGGAATAGGCTTTAAGGTGGAACCTCAAAACATACATACCCTGATCAAAACACCCCTAAACCGTAAACCCTAAACCCTAATTAAACCCTAATCCTCAAACCCTAAACCCCAAACCCTAAACCCTAAACCCTAAACCCTAAACCCTCCGTGGCCTGGGATCGCACCCACTCCGCACCGAAATCCCAGCGCAGGACTCCGGAGGCATCCAGCCGGCCCTTTCCGCATTGGGGGGGGGGGGGGGGGGGGGGGGTTAGGGTTTAGGGTTTAGGGTTTAGGGTTTAGGGTTTAGGGTTTAGGGTTTAGGGTTTAGAGTTTAGGGTTTAGGATTTGGGGTTTTGGGGTTTAGGGTTTAGGGTACCCTGAACCCCAAACCCCATTCAGGGTTTAGGGTTCGCCTTAGGGTGGCGGGGCGACGAAGGTTGCATGCGTTGAGGGTTGCAGGGCTTTAGGGGATTTGGGCTTCTGTGAAGCAAGAGGATGCATTTTTTTTGACTGTGGGTCCTTTGTTTAGGGCAGTTTCGAACCCTAAGCCCGCCAACCCTGAACCCCAAACCCTAGGGTTGAAGGCTTGCGAAATAAAAGATGAGCTTTGATGGCTAATGTTCATTTAGAAGCATGATAACAAAAGATTGCAGCTAACTATTCCTTGGGGGTTGAGGGTTTACAGGGGGGTTGTAAAAGGCAAAAGAGGCCCTTCAACAAGAGCCCCCTAGTGAGAGCCTGGGTACCAGTCGAAACCCTCCACCCTTAAACCCTTAAAACGCTAAAAGCTGCCCCAAAACCCTAGACCCAGCTCGGCCAGAAACCTCGGTCTAAGGCTCTGACCCAGCAAGGCAGCTCATTCCCCTTCTTGTCGACACCTCTGCGCGTCAAGGCCTATCCTAGCCCTGGCTTGGGGTGTTTACGGTTTATGTGGTGTACAGGTTCTTGGGGCTTATAGGGTTCATCGGGTGTTTAGTTTAGGGGTTTAAAGGGTTCATAGGCTTGATATGGTGCTACAGAATAGGCAACACACTGCTGAATGGATTCGGGTTTAGGGCTTAGGGCTTAGGGCTTAGGGCTTAGGGCTTAGGGTTTAGGGTTTAGGGTTTAGGGTTCAGGGCTTACTTCTCATGCGACGCGCAGGCGGTGTGGGGGAGCCTAGCTTTTTGCTTGGGCTCCATACGAACCATGGCCATAGTTCACACCCTTAAGAGGCACCACATTCACAAGCTAAACCCTAAACCCCGCAAATCTCCGTCTCTCTGCACACCCCTGAACCCCAATTGTTCTGAACTTCCCCTGAAACCCCGAAATCCTAGATATCCCCCAAAGTTCTTCTACCACAAACCCCACATCCTAACCCCTAAGAACCTGAACCCCAAACCCTAAACCTAGACCCAATAGTAACCTAGGAATAAAGAAGGGTAGGTACCCTTTTTGGTTGAAAGAGGATTAGAAGGGAACCGAAACCCTAAAAAGAGGAAACAAGGGCCTACTCTGGGTCCTAGTAACCCTAAACCCTAAACCCTAAACCCTACACCCTAAACCTAAACCCTAAACCCTATGGGTCCTAGACATTCCTCCGCAAAGGCTTGGGGCGCTCCATGCTGCATCTTCTTGAGCCATTCTCCCGTCATGAGCTGGGGAGGCACCCTACATCCTGAACCCTAAGCCCTAAACCCTGAACCCTAAACCCTCAAGAACCCAAAACCCTAAAGAACCCTAAACCCTAAAGAACCCTAAACCCTAAACCCTAAACCCTAAACCCTAAAGCGAGTTGAGATCCCGCTCCGGCTGGGGCCCCAGCACACGGTCGAGATGATGGACCTGGCATCACAGGAGGAGGCCTGTGTAGGTTTTCGTTTAGCGTTTAGGGTTTAGGGTTTAGGGTTTATGATTTAGGCTTCAGGCTTTGGGCTTTAGGCTTTAGGGTTGGAGGATTTTGATGAGAAAATAGGACTTGTAGTGCTTTTGCAAACAAGACAGACGCAGGGCTTGTAGGATTTATAGGGGGTTTAGGCTCGTGAGGCATAAGACGTGGCAGCCTAGTAACCATATTGGAAGAAGGGTACCCTTCTTGGGGCTGGTGTGGTTTGGGTCTGGGTTTAAGGTTGCAGACAGGTACGGCGCCTTGAGGGATCATCGCCACACAATCACTCCAAAACCCTAAACCCTAAACTCTACACTTTACACCCTCGGCCGGTTCAGGGGGGACTAAGAGTTTAGGGGGGTTGGGGTCTTCATCGTGATTGTTTTCTCTGTGATTCAGGTTTTGGGGTTTTGCCATGTTAGAGGATGAGGGCCCCGTGAGCCCTAAACCCTAAACCCTAAACCCTAAGCCCTAAACCCTAAACCCTAAACCCTCCACCGTGCCTGCCCTTCACTTCGAGGTCGGTGATCATGTCGTCCGAGTTCTCGGTGCGAAGGGTCACTGGGGTCTCTTTTAGGGGTTTAGGGTTTAGGGTTTAGGGGCTGAGGGGTTTAGGGTTTAGGGGTTTAGGGGGTTTCGGGGCTTAGGGGTTTTAGGGGTTTAGGGGGTTTAGGGGGTTTGGGGGGTTTAGGGGTTAGGGTTCAGGATCGCTCGGTATAGGGTTGCTAGGGTTGCTAGGGTTCGGAGGTTGCGGATTTATTTTGGGTTGAGGTTCAAAGGTTAGGGTTTACTAGATCCAAGGTCCGGGGCTAAGCCCTAAACTCCGAAACCCGAACCCAAACAAAACCCTCAAACCGAAATCCAATCCTGGTCAATGGGTTGCTTGCTTGCCCAACAGGTCCACCTAGCTTTGTTGCGAATGCTTGGCCTCTAAACCCTAAACCCTAAACCCTAAACCCTAAACCCTAAACCCTAAACCCCACAAGCCCTAAACCCCACAAGCCCTAAACCCACGGGAAGAGGTTTAGGCCCCCAAGTCGGCCACAATATGGGCGTTGGCACAGGGGCGAGTCTCGGACCAGAGAACACAGCTGAAGCTCACTATGGGGAAGCCTTACATACCCCTTGTATACCTCGAAAACCCAAGGGCCCATACTTAAGAACCCTTTAAACGAAGGTAAGGAAGACCAAAATAGAGGGGCCATGTAACTGCCCCAAAAACACTAAAAACTAACCCCAAACCCTATGCAAACCCTCAGCTCGTGCACTCTAAACCTTAAAGACACAAAATCGGCGGCCAAAGGCACCCAAAAGATCTTGCGGCCCTTGATGACCGCACCTGTCCATGAGCCTCCGCTGGAAGGTATTCACGTGCTCATTATTCAGGGTGTTTAGGCTGAGTGAGGACTTGGAAGGCTTTGGGGACCTGCAGAGAGGCAGCCTGAACCACTCCACCCCCCCCCCCCCTTCCCCGGCCGTGACGTGGAGAAGACTCAGCAATCCTGGCTTCAAAATGCGAGGACGCGCGCGTCGAAGCGACCATGGGTTTAGGGCTTAGGGCTCAGGGCTGGCTGCCTCGATCAAAGTCCCAAGGGCGCTCGGTTGCGAGTGCACAGAGTTTTAGGGTTTAGGGTCTAGCGTTTAGGAATTTAAAGTTTAGGGTTTAGGGTTAGGTGTCAGGGTGGAGATGCTCGCTGTTTGGGGCCTCTTAGCGGTTTCAAGAGCTTGGGGCTCGTATATCCTAAAGGGAGCTAAGCCCTGAAACCAAAATACCAGGAAGATCACTAAAACCTTATAACCCTACACCCTAAACCCTATAAACCCTAAACCTCACAAACCCTAAGCCTTGCAAACCCTAGCCCTTACAAAGCCGAAACCTTATAATCCTGAGCCCTATAAACCCTAATAGACCCTTACATGCCATAAACCTTACACCCCCTTATATCCCTAAACCCTGAACCCGAAACCTTATAACCCTAAACCCTAAACCTTGTAACTTATAACCCGAAACTTGATATCCCCAAACCCTAAACCCTAAACCCTAAACCCTAAACCCTAAACCCTAAACCCTAAACCCTAAACCCTAAACCCTAAACCCTAAACCCCAAGCCGACTTCCCCGTGCCTTCGAAGGCCGTTGCCTTCACTGCGGCCGCCGGGTCCGCGCTCCGGTCGGCCAGCTGCTCCAGAACCTGCGTCCAGGGTTGCAGGGTTTGAGGGTTTTGGGGGGTTTAGGGTTTAGGGTTTAGGGTTTAGGGTTTAGGGTTTAGGGTTTAGGGTTCAGGTTTTTAGAGTTTAGGGTTTATAGGGTTTAGGGTTTTAGAGTTTAAGGTTTAGGGGTAGGGTTTAGGGTTCATGTAGTGTTTAGGGTTCCAGGGTTCAAGGGTTAGAGTTAGGGTTCCAGAGTTTTATGGCATATAGGTTTCCTGCAAACCCTTAACAACATAAACCGTTAGGGTGTAGGGCTGAGGGCGTGTACGAGCGCGGGGTCGAGGCTTCGGGAATCGGCAGTTGTTGCGTTCAAGTTTAAGGTTGGCTTTTCTTGAAATCTGGCATTTGGTTCTTCTTAGTGCTTTATATAGTGTGTTTTTTGATTGGGCTGGGTAGGCTTTAGGGCTTGGGGTTTAGGCTGTGGGGTTTAGGGCATAGGGAACAGGGGGCTGTTGCGTTTAGCGCTGCACCCTAAACCCTAAACCCTATGCCCATGGCCCAAGTTATTGAACTCAGGACCGGGCTTGGGGTTCAGGGCTATGCGTTGAGGGTCCCACTTGTCAGCACAGAGGCTACTGGGACCCCCCTAAACCCTAAACCCTAGAAACTAAACACTGAACCCTAACCCTGCCCAAAGAGGAGGCAAGAAAGACAAGGAAGGGGGCCACCTGGAAGGGAAACCCTGAACCCCAAACCCCAAACCCTAAATCCCAAACCCCCTCTGCCCAGGTAACGAAGGGATTGTCGAGGGCTTTGAACTTTGTAGGGTTTCCCAAGTGCATCCAAACCCTAAACCCCTAGGCTCCGGGGCTTTCAGGGCTTGCATTATAGTATTCTGGCTACATCCTGCAACCTACACCTTGAACGCCAAACAGAGCCTAATCCCTGAATCGTGCCGAAAGCTCCGAAACCTTCCGATGACCAGGCATCACGCCTCCATGGCTATCTCCTGCGTGCGGGACTCCTGTTCGCACGAACTGAACAAGAAAGAGGACCCAAGCTCTGCCAGCGCGTTCATCCACCCTCTGAATATGATGAATATGAGATTGAGCCCCGCCGAAGCCATGGTGGAAGGAACTCTCCCTTGAGGAAAGCCTTAAGATTCAAGTTAGGTCTCCAAGTAGGGTAAGTTTAGGGTTTAGGGTTCTAGGGTAAGTTGAACTCGAAGCCAAGAAGTGGAGGAAAGCAAAACAAGGTAGTCATAAAACCTGAGAAGAATCCCCCTTGCCTACTCTCTTCTTCCCTAAACCCTAAACCCTAAACCCTAAACCCGAAGCCCCAAACCCCCCGACCAGCTGAAGGCTAGGGTCCGAGTCCTGGTGCCCAAGAGCGGCTGCAGCGGCCTCCAATGCGTTGAGGTCGCCACCTCGCAGCTGCTGTGGGTTTGGGGTTTAGGGCTTAGGGGTTATAGGGTTTAGGGTTTAGGGCGTGGGTTTAGGGCTTAGGGTGTAGGGTTTAGGGTTGGGGTTCAGGGTTTATAGGGTGGGGTGTAAGCCTGCAGCCCAAAACCTTCAACTTTGCATGTGAACATGAGATTCACCTACTCAGTGCTGCATCTCAAGATCTCTTTAAAATTAGGGTTTAGGGTTTGGGATGGCGTCCCTCCTTCAATCAAAAAAGTAGCAACTAGACTCCAGGGTTCAGGGTTCTATTCCTACACCCGAAACCCTAGAACCCTAAACCCTAGAAGCCTAAGTCCTAAACCCTAAACCCTAAACCCTAGAACCCTAAACCCTAGAACCCTAAGCCCTAGAACCCTAAACCCTGGAACCCTAAGTCCTAAACCCGAATCGCGGAAGAATCTTCAGAACCCGAGGGCTCCACGGGCAGCGACTTCGACGAGGGCGCGCAGCGCAGCAACTGAAGCCTGCGGAGAGGGGCTCACCATACAGGTACGAACTGGGTTCCGACTGAGGGCTTGGGGTTTAGGGTTTAGGGTTTAGGGTTTAGGGTTTAGGGTCTAGGGCCGTTTAGGGTTTAGGGTACTTCCGGTTATCCTCAAAGGCTCGGGGAAAGGGCGTCTCCAAACGCTTCAGACCTCTCTTCCCGTTGAGAGAGCAGTCGAACTTAGCCTCTGTGAGTTTGCCTTGCCGCAGGCCGCACATGACTTGCACTGCAAGTGCCGTGTCGTTCGGTTGCGGGGTGCAGGGCTTCCTAGGTTGGTTCCCTAAACCCTAAACCCTAAACCCTAAACCCTAAACCCTAAACCCTAAACCCTAAACCCTAAACCCTAAACCCTAAACCCTAAACCCTAAACCCTAAACCCTAACCCTAAACCCTAAACCGCTGACTGCAAGAGTGCGCCGCCCTGCTGAGGTCAGACTGGCCATACGTTGCTCCAGGAGTTCGGGTTTAAAGGGTTAAGGGTTTAGGGTTTAGGGGTAACTTAGGGGGGCTTACGGTTGGTAACTTAGGGGGGCTTACGGTCTTCAACGGGGGCTTGCTTGCTGGAGCGCACGGGCTTTTATGTAGGTTCTAGGTATGCGTTAGTCTACCCACAGCCTTCAAGCCCTGAACAACTTGAACCTTGTTTAGTATACCACGCCCCCCTTGACAATAGTTCGTCTATCCGCACTCACCTCCCCAAGACCAAAAATATCCCCCGAACCTAAACTCGACGCCCCCAAGCCCCAACCCCAAACCCACCCAATTTCCTAAACCCCGTACCCCCCCCCCCCGCGCCTTCAACCCACCAAAGCCTAAACCCATGAAACCATTAAACCCCTATCTTCACGCGGCCTGGGGGTACTCGGGGTCGATGCACTCTCCGAGGAGGTCAATTGCCTGGTCAGGGGACGTCAGGTTCGGGGATCGCAGTCCCAGATAAACCCTTAGACCCAACGCCCCCTTCTTGTTTGTTTTAAGGCTTGGGGATCTAAATCCCAGAAAAAGCCCGTAAACCCACTTCTGTAACCTTTAGTGCCCCTCATGGTACCCAAACTTCGACCTCCCTTCCTGAAGGTTTGATTCCATTGATGCCGACTGCCCACGAACCATGAGCTCCCACGGGACATCTAATGTAGGCGCCACTCGATTCATGCCTCGACGTCGCCGTGCATGGCAAACTTCGCCAAAGCTTTACAGGCGGCCTTGCGTGACGGTCTGGGTGTAGGAGTTTAAGAGCGTAAGGGTTGAGGCGTTTCGATTGGGGATATATAGAGGTGTCGGGTTCTAGGTCGTGGATTACTGGTGTGGGAGTACGGGCTTTGAGGCTTCTGGGGGTTTGCGTGGGGTTTAGGAGTTTGGCGGTTTTTTGGCATGGGGGGGGGGGGGGGGGGGGCGGGTATCCCACCATTCATAAAGCAAGGTGTGGGTCGAGGGAAGGCCGCCCCACACGGCTGCTTTGAGTTCGGGTGTTTTCGAAGCATCTGTGTCCTAAACCCTCAAACCCCCAAACGCTACACCCCAGCTGTTGGATGCGGATTTCAGGGGAACGCATCACCTTTTTAGCTTTCTATCATTGAAAGATTCTCCGAGGGAAATGCCGATGTGGTTCAGTGTTGCATTCTCCACAACGCTAGACTAGTAGGCCAAATGCCAAAAAAACCCAAGAAAGATACTGCTTCTTTTCTTGGACTGCGCTAGGGGATGACACCTACCCCCCCCCCCCCCCTACCTATACCCCCCTAATTACCCCCCCACCCCGTTACCCCCTACCCACGTCAACCCCCTGCCCCCCTCCACCCCACCACCACCCCCCCACACCGGGGGGGCTTCGGGTAAGATTAGGGCCCGATACCTTCATGCAGTAAGCACTACACCCCCCCCCCCATTTTCCGCTAGATCCTACACAAAATCCCGAAGCCCTAAAGCCTAAACCCTGCCTCCTTCAGATCTTCTCGGAAGGGAGGTGGCCGAAAATTCCGCAGACTCTGGGTCAAGTAGGTCCAGACCTCCAACACGAGCTTGCAGGCTTTCAGGTACAGACTGTAGGTTATGTGGTTTAGGGTTTAGGATTCAGGGTCGTTTAGGATCGAGGGTTTGCAGTTTGAGGGTTGGGCCACAACAATGCTTCTGCAGGATGATGCATCATTAAGCCAAAAGACGCCGCACATGCACGTTGTCCAGCTGCTTTGGCGCTTTGGAGCCCTAAACCATAAACATAAACCCTAAACCATAAATATAAACCCTAAACCCCAAACCCTAAACACACGAGAGTGCATGAATCTCGACCTGCTGCAGCCCTGCCGTGGGCGCCGTCTGACAATTCCAGATGCGGACTGCCCTCACGCAACGAGGGTAACGTGGGGTTTAGGGTTTAGGGTTTAGGGTTTAGGGTTTAGGGTTTAGGGTTGAGGGTTTAGGGTTTAGGGTTTAGGGTAGGGTTTATAGGGTTTAGGGTTTCGGGTTGGGTCATTTGGGGATCGCCGACCCCAGAGCTTCGACCCGAAAATCTGCAAAACAGAAGGCGGTGACTTAGGCCAATACTTGTTTCAGGGGTTTGGATGTTAAGTTCTAATTTAAGGTTTAGGATTCAAGATTTAGGATTCGTCCTCGTCTTGGCAACCTCGGCACCCCACAATGCCTAGGCTAGAGGTTTGGGGTTTAGGCATTAGGAAGCCCCCGGAGTAACCTGGGACTAAAAAAAGGTACCCTTTGTGGTTTAAAGGGGTTTTCAGGGAACCTCAACCCAGAATAGGGTTCTACTCTGGGTCCTGGAACACCTAGTTGCCCAAAACAAGGTTTAAGTTTAGGGCTTCGGGCTTAAGCACCCGAGTTGTCCAAAACCTCAAGCCCTGTAGGGCCTCAAGCCCTACATGCAAAACACCCTAAAGCCCCAAACCCAAAACGCTAAACCCTCAAACTCCCACACACACACCTGAATCCGGAACAGACGGCTCTTGCCTTCCGGTTCTCCGGCGTTGACAGGCTCGGAAGCGCCTCAGAGGTTTGGGGCTTGGGGCCTGCGCTACTGGGGGCGCTTAGGGCTTAGGGTTTAGGGGTTGGGTTTAGGGTTTAGGGTTTAGGGTTTAGGGTTTAGGGTTTAGGGTTTAGGGTTTAGGGTTTAGGGTTTAGGGTTTAGGGTTTAGGGTTTAGGGTTTAGGGTTTAGGGTTTAGGGTTTGCTGTGACATGGCGCAGAAGCTGTGAAGGCTGGATGTAGACTCGCTTCGAAACCTTCGTGACATGAGAAGAGCAACCATGGCTAGTGGAGGCCACCCCACGCCGTCTTAGGCGGCAAAACCACCCAAACCTATTCCTTGTAGTGAAGTCAACAGCCCACTTCCAAAAACTGTCAGGGGGTTGTAGGGGGGTCACAGGGGGTTTAGGGTAGTGACTTTAATTTAACAATGGACCAGTGCCTGTCCCGAAAAGAGCGGGCTCCGGCACCGGGCCCATCGTGGAACGACTTGGGTCGGCTTGCGCCATCGAGGTCGAGTGGCTTAGAGGCGGGCCGGCCTAAGCCTCGAGTTTAGGGTTTAGGGCTGAACGGGGGCGTGCAGGGCATATGGGATGTAGAGATCAAGGAGCCAATCGGAAGACAGCCAAGTTGGAGCATCCCAAGGAATAATCATATCTATGATTCAGCAGTGGGGTACTTTGGGATGTTTCCCCTTATCTTAACAGTCCTTAACAGGGATTATAATAACCCCTTTTAGATTTTTTAATCCCTATTAAGGACTGTTAGTAATATAACCGGGGGGAACATCCCAAAACTTCAAAAAATGCAGGCTTTAACCAAACCATTACAACCCTAAAACCCCTTCTAAAAGAACCTTAGAGCAATCCTAGAAAAACCATCATTCCCCTTAACAACAAAAACTATAAAACACATTAAACAAATAAAGCCTTCAATCCAAACCTGTAAACCAACAAAAATGCAAACAGACTGAACCGCACGATCCGCCTCGGCCACGGCGGCCCGGACAAAGGCATCCGAGTCCTGCAAGCGCCCCAAGACCTGCTCTCTCACAAGAATATGGGGTTTAGGGTTTAGGGTTTATTTCCGGAAATAGGGGTACCCTTTCTGGGGGTCTCTTTCAAGAGGGTCTATTCTATTTGGGGTATAAAAAGGGTACCCCTATGTTGGGACAAGGATATGGCTTCAGCACTGGTTTAGGGGTTTAGGGTTTGGGGTTTGGGCTCTAGCTTCTAGGGGCTGGCTCAGGGTTTGGGGTTCAGCTGCTTTCTGGTTTAGGGTAAGTAGTAGACTGAGGCTTAGCGTTTCGGGTTTAGTTCCTTCAGGGCCCTAAACCTGAAACCCTGTAGGATTTGGGCGTTAGAGGGCTTTAGGGTTCATGCTCGGCAGAGATAAACGTCGCGGCACGAAGCCCGTTGCCTTAACCTGCACATGCGGGAAGCAACACGAACAAACCCAATAAGTTTAGGGTTTAGGCTGTTTAGGGTTCAGGGTTTAGGTTTTAGGATTGAGGGTTCGGCAGCGGAATGTGCAGGGAGGTGTAGGGTTTTTGATATTCACGTGACTCAGATGATGTTCTCCTTGGTACATGTCATGTAGTAAACTTCCTTACCGTTGGCACTGCAACGAACGGATCTAGGCGAAGGTTGCCACGGGAAGGGAAGCTTTTTTTGGGACCTTGTGGACCTTGACCTTCGCACCCAGACGCTGCAGCGCCCTAAGCCCTGCGTCCCGAAAGCCTAAACCCTCAACCGAACAATTGTGGGGGTGGTTTGGGTCTGAGTCTCTGAGCTGCCATAAATATGGCCACTTCTCTGAGCAACGGCTCCTTTTTGGGGGTCTATTATTCTAAGGCGGCCGATTTTATTTAGGACAAGCCAAAGAGGGGGCATCATTGGGAGAACTGACCCCGCAGCGCTACCCCTTGTTTGCCCCCTCCCCCCCCCCCCTCTCCAATTCCTCAGACCGTTGAGGGCGGAGGGAGTACGGTTTAGAGGTTCGGGTGGGTTTGGCCCTAAACCCTAAACCCTAAACCCTAAACCCTAAACCCTAAACCCTGGGCTCTGAGCCTGGATGATCACTTCGTCATGGTCCTGTTCCTGGCACTTAAGGCGGGGGGGGTCTACCTTCAGCCCTGTTTATCTGCAGGCATAGGGTTTAGGGTTTAGGGTTTAGGGTCTAGGGTCTAGGGTCTAGGGTCTAGGGTCTAGGGTCTAGGGTCTGGGGTCTGGGGTTTAGGGTTTAGGGTTTAGGGTTTCGGGTTTCGGGTTTAGGAGATTCAGGCTTTAAAGCCAAAGCGGGTTCGAAACATATGATCACCCCCTTGGCCACCGTGCCCCGGGAATATGGACTCTCTTTTTGCTCGGGGCTGGAGAGGCTTTCATCTTCAGGGGGGGGGGGGGGGGGGGGGGGGGGGCACTATGATCGAAAGCAGCAGGAGATTGGGCTCTTTCGCCACTCAGTTCAACCCCCCCCCCCCCCCCCCCCACTGCAAAGGAAGCAAAAACCCTAAAACCAGAACCCGGGCGGCCTTTGTTTTTTCAAGGGGCGCAGGAAACAATCCCCAAAGCCCTGAAGACCTGAAATCCCTGCAAGCTCGATTCGGCTAATTCAGCCCTTTAAACCCTCTGAACCCCCCCAAACCCTCCAAACCCTAAAACCTCCTAAACCCTAAACCCTAAACCCCAAACCTCAAACCCTAAACCCCAAAACCCTCAACCGCAATGCATGAGGGCCAGGCCGCCACAGCCGACAGCGAGGAGATCGCGCGTGCGCGCACGGCGCCCTCCCACCGCAGGGGCGAATAGGTTTGGGGTCTGAAAGGGATTTAGGGTTTAGGGTTTAGGAGGGTGTAGGGTTTCGGGCAGGTTAGGGTTTAGGAGTTTAGGGCTTCTCCTCAACTATCCCATAGCGATCCAACCCTAAACCCTCAAGAGGGCCGAGGGCGCTTTTGATCTCAGGTTGCAGGGCATAGTTGAGAGGGGCAAGGCTGATTTGGGCTGTAGAGTGTTGGTGTTGAAAGGCTTTTGTGGAACAGCTCCATTGGTGGGAGCTCAACGAAAACACAACCACCAGCCTAAACCCCCAAGCCTCACGTAACCCTAAACCCCCCAAACCCGAAACCCTAAACCCCCCAAACCCGAAACCCTAAACCCCCCAAAGCCTCCCGTAACCCTGACCCTCCCAAACAAGCTCCGAGCCGAAACGTTGAAATTCTCACGTCAACCCTGAACAGAGACCCTCAACGCTGACAACTCTTCAGCCCTGAAGCACGCAACCCTAAACCCTAAACCCTAAACCCTAAACCCTAAACCCTAAACCCTAAACCCTAAACCCTAAACCCTAAACCCTACATGAACCCTAAACGCCTTGAAACCCTCCACCCTCAAGACAGGGCCTCGGCGTCCCCCAGCCTTTCCAGCAGGGCCGCCAGGACTCGCCCGTCGCCCCCTTTTAGGGATTTTGGAGGTTTAGGTTCTAGGGTTTAGTTTGGGTTTAGAGCTTAGGGCTTAGGGCTTAGGGCTCAGGGCTCAGGGCTTAGGGGGTTTAGGGTGTAGGGTTTAGGGTTTAGGGTTGCCCTCGAAGATTTGGGGATCTGGGGTCAGAGGGTTCCCTCCTTCAAAGTGGCATTTATGTTTTGTTTCTTGCGCATGCTTTTCATTAGCGCTCATGTCGTCTCGTAGCCCAAAAAACCTAAGCCAAGTGCTATAGTAGTATCAACACAAATACAAGATTTTAGGTTGGTCCTGAAAGGCTGCCAAAGGAGCACCCAAAATAATTCGAGACCCAAAGTCTTAGGGAGGATTTAGGGACTATAAGGGTTTAGGTTTGAGGGACTCTTCAATGCTACTCCTTTTGGGGGAGGCTCGGGGACACCCCAAAATGGAGTTTTTGTGCTTAGGGTTCGAGTCTAGTCTCGAGTCTAGAGCCTGGGAGCTTGGTTGAGGGTTGGGTCTAAACCGCAAAATCCTGAACCCTAAGCCCGAGATCCCCAAACCCTAAACCCTAAAACCCCCCCCAAACACTAAACTCTGAACCCTGAACCCTAACCCTAAAACCTAAACCCTAAACCCTAAGCCCTAAGCCCTAAACCCTAAACCCTAAACCCTAAACCCTAAACCCTAAACCCTAAACCCATCCGACTTGAGAAGTCCATGGCCCCCCGGCTGTCTGCGAAGTGCTGGAGCGCGTTGATCACTTCCAGGCCTGGGGTTTGGGATTTAAGGGTTAGGGGGTGAGGGATTAGGGTTTGAGGGGCTTTCGGGTTTAGGGTTTTACGGTTTTGGGGTTTTAGGGGCTTTCGGGTTCAGGGTTTAGGGTTTAGGGCTTTAGGGTTTAGGGTTTAGGGTTTAGGGTTTTCGGGTTTTCGGGTTTTAGGGTTTAGGGTATAGGGTATAGGGTATAGGGTATAGGGTATAGGGTATAGGGTATAGGGTTTAGGGTTTAGGGTTTAGGGTTTAGGGTTTAGGGTTTAGGGTTTAGGGTTTAGGGTTTAGGGTTTAGGGTTTAGGGTTTAGGGTTTAGGGTTTAGGGTTTAGGGTTTAGGGTTTAGGGTTTAGGGTTTAGGCTTAGTCCTCAAGCGTCCGGCTTGCCGCAGACAGCAAGCAGCTCAGCTGGGGCCCCAGCGCGCATCCGGGCTGGACCTGGGACAAGGTTCTTGTCTCACGAAGGCACCGGGTTTAGCTTAGGCCTTATCAGGGTTTAGGGTTTAGGGTTTGGGGTTTGGGGTTTAGGGTTATAGGAAATCATCGCGCATCCTTACCGCCGTAGAATTGTATAGGAAACAAGCACGTATCCTTACTGTGGCGGCTGAAGACTTTAAGTTCCTTGTAAAGAACTGGTGAAGCCTCCACAGGCGTTCGGGGAGAGGGGGTGGGGGCCGTGGGGTATTTAGGGTGGATCCACCCCTAACATCCCGCCGCCCACCTGGCTTGAATACAATAGTCGGAATTGCAGGAATGGCCGACCTATTGGGGACAAACCCCACAGCCCAGACAAAACTGGGGTGTTCCCCACGCCCTGGGTCATAAAGACAAAACAAATCAAACTCAAATAAACGACATGTTAGGGTTTAAGGCTCCGGGTTTTAAGGCTTAGCATTTCCGGTATGGTGGGTTTAGGAAAACCTGATGGCCCCACGACCTAGCTTGTGGCCCTGCTGCAAGGGCCCCGACGAACCCGCACGGCTAAGCAGCAGCGGAATCACGACCTCCGCATCCCGCGGCACGACCTTTAACGCGACGAGAGGTTTGTGTTGGCTGGGATGTTGGGGGGGAGGGGCGGGAGCTTGGTTTACATCAAGCACCGCAAACCCACAGTGGTTTGAGCCAAGGGTCGAGGGGTGAAGAGCTTAGGGAGACGTGGTTTAGTCACTCTTTCGCACTCCCGTATGAAGACGCAAACCCAGCAAACGATAGTAAACGAGAAACTGCAAGATACATCCAATATTGCTACATGTTGAAGCTACGTACTCCAAGCAGTGAGTCCATGAGCCCAACAAGCCTTGTAAGTCTCACGAGTTGCATGCTGCTACAGAGGAACCACCAAAGAAGTCCAAAGCAGAATTAGCAGGTCTCAAAATTGAGCCTTACGTATTCTCAACTTTTCCCATAAAAGTTCGCAAACCCTAGACCCTTCTTAGCTACGGTGCAGGGCGGGGGGGGCGGTCCCTGCAGCTCTACACCCAGGCCTCGCGAAGAGTGCGCGCTGCAGCACGTCGCACGGGCGGGTGCCTGTGGTGGTCCCCGTTGAGAGCCCAAAATCCCCAAACCTTCGAACTACCTTGCGGCTTAAGGTTTTAGGCTCTGGGGTTGATCTGTGGGTTTACGAAATGAGGGGTACCTGTTGCGGGGTCCTTACTATACTGTTTTGGGGGTATGTATGTATATCTATATATATATATATATACTATAAGTATATATATATATATACTTATAAGGGAATCCCTTATACTTGGAAACCCCGCCATATGATAGGGTTGGAAGGTGTTGGGCTTCGGGCGACCGCGTCTGGTGCTGCCAAGGAGCTCGTCGCCAAGACGCCTCAGCAGCTCGGCAACGACCTGAGCTTCACGTCAGGTTTAGGGTTTAGGGTTTAGGGTTTAGGGTTTAGGGTTTCGGGTTTAGGGTTTATAGGGTTTAGGGTTTATAGGGTTTAGGGTTTACTAGGGTTTAGGCTTTAGGGTTTATTTGTAAACCGCCACATGGGGATTTACGAACATAAGGGGCCCCGAATATAGATCCCCAAATAATAGGATTCTCTTCTAATCTCTTAGCATAAGGACCCCAATAAGGTACCGCGAATTCGGAAACCCCCCACCCCAAAGAGACTAGAATCCCCTTAAAGGGACCCGCCAAAAAGGGTCCCCTAATTTGGGAAACCCTCATATCACAAGAAGGGTACCCTTTGTTTTTGCGGGGGTTGGCGACTTTACAAGGGGATCCTTGAACCGAAGAAAAAGAGAAAAAGGGCACCACTTGGCTACCAAGTCCTTACCCTAAACCCTAAACCCTAAACCCTAAACCCCAAAACCCAAAACCCAAACCCCAAACCCTAAACCCTAAACCCTAAACCCTAGCCTTACAAGCAAGTCCTGGAGCCCTTACGAGGCTGTTGGGCTTTTTGGGGATGGCTCAGGGCCTTCCCAGGGCATAAGAGGCTCATAGGACATGGCTGGAGTTTAGGGCTTCAGGGTTTGCAGGGTTTAGAGTTTAGAGTTTAGGGTTTCGGAGCTTCGGGCAAACCTACCAGCGACCCGCAACTCTACAAAAACGATCCCATCACCCTAGTGCAAGCCGCCGAAGAGAATTTGGGATCTAAACGGTCCCGCCGCCCCCGCCCAAATCCAAAAAACATAGAGAAAGAACCAAGCCGGAGAATCTTGGGCTAGCGGACACACACACACACTGTCACACACACACACACACACACCTACACCTAAAAACCCCTAAACCCTCAACCCTAAACCCTAAACCCTAAACCCTAAGCCTAAGCCCTAGACCCTAAACCCTAAACCCGAAATCCTAAACCCTAAACCCTACCACCCCAAAACCCTGCCCAGGTCCCCTGCCAGTTCATCGCTGCCATCCGCCACCTTCAGGAGCTTTGGCGCCACAGAGTTGCGCTCCCCCTGGCAGGGTTTAGGGTTTAGGGTTTGGGGTTTAGGGTTTAGGGTTTGGGGTTTAGGGTTTAGGGTTTGGGGTTTCGGGCTTAGGGTTTGGGGTTTAGGGATTGAGGAGTCTAGAGTCTTAAGGTGTATGGTTTTTTAGGGATATGGGCTTCTCGAGTTGTGGAGGGGGAGGGGATTGGGACGAGGATAAGAGTAGTACCGGTTGCCTCTCGGGGTTCGGGAGGGCAAGCCCTCAAAATCAAACCTTACACCCTAAACCCTAGACTCTATAACCCTAAACCCTAAACCCAAACTTGAGTGCAAGACGGGCAGCCCTTCGGGCGGCTAGAGGCAGCTTTGTCAACTGGCCGTGCTCAAGCAGGTGGGTAAGTACAACATGCTGTCGGATGTAATCCGAGCTCCTGTTTAATTTAACCCCCCATATTTAAAGAAACTTTTTTTGCCCGGATTCCCGCCGGAAGACTACTTTCCATTACGATGGATTTCGTATGGGCCAAACCCTCCACATTTCAAGATTTTTTTTTTTTTTTTTTTTTTCAAATTTTGAAACTCTGCCTTTCGGAAAGCTTTTTTTCTTCTGCTAAGGCTGCACCTCTCGCCCTACGTTCTTATTGTTTTTTAATAGAGAAACCATACGGGGCCATGGTCCAACTATTGCGGAACCCTGCTTTCCTTATTGTGGGGGGGGGCGCCCCCACCAATTAAACAGGAGCTCGGATTAGCTACTACTGTTATGAACCTCTCAGAGAAAGGTTTAGGCCGTTTAAGGCCCTTTGGGGCTTAGGGTTGCGCGTTCAGGGGTTACGGCTTAGGGTTTTCAGGTTCAAATCTGTGGTGCTTGGTCCGTTGAGATCTTACAGTATGGTGCAGCAGAATTAGGAGGTACACTCCAAAGTGGACTCCAAAGCCCTATCTCTGAACAACAACCAAGCAAAGCACTCCGCACTCCTTGTTGCGCCACGCTGCGAACCGATCTCTCTTCTGCCCTACCCACTAACCAAGCATACAAATGGCTCGGAGCCTCATCTGTTCCGTGCGGATAACTAAACTACTCCCCTCAGAACCATAGGAAAATAGTAATCCATTCTTCCCCAGGGTTCTATATACATAAAAACAGACATTCCCGGGGGGGGGGGGGGGGGGGGGCTATGACAAAGGGGGTTGTGCCTGAAGGGTTGATGTTTACAATGGATCCAAGGCAGCGTCTGGGGATGTTTTGGGGTTTTTCCGAAAAAAGGGGCATCCTTTTGCGGGGCTCCCCTTCAGGGAATTCGATTCTATTTGGGGTTTCAGAGGGGTACCCCCTATTTTGGGAATTGCTCATATCAGGGGGGCGCTGCAAGGAGGGCCCTAAGCTAAGAACGCGACGACCATCCACTCGGACTCAGCGGAACCCCTTCTTCTCAGGGCGCAGGCGCGCGTAGCAGTAGCGGTACGTGAAGCCTGCGGGACTCGGGCGTGGCGGTGCATGGGGAGCTCCCCTCTGACCCTAAACCCTAAACCCTAAACCCTAAACCTCCCTCTATCCAGGGTGCTTGAAGGTGTCGGTGTGCTCAGATCTTCAACGCTTACATGCCATACGAATGAACCGAAGATAGACATTTCAGATTAATTACACGAATGCACGTCTCAGGTGTATGCAGAAGTATATTTCTATCTGCATTTCTACTTTATTACAACCCTGCTTTTGCTTTGCTGATGTATGACTAATGGAACCCAGAGGGGGAAACTAGAGTAAGCACATAAGGCGCGGAGGGCACATAGATCTGACAGGCTCCGGCAGTGGCCTGGGGTTTAGGGTTTAGGGTGTAGGGTTTAGGGTTTAGGCTGTAGGGTTTAGGGTTTAGGGTTTAGGGTTTGGGGGAGGGGGGTCTCGGTGCCAAGTTGCTGCTTTGAGGACCTTGGGCCCGCAAGCCCTTCATCCAGGCCACAATGTAGACTGCTCAGGTTCTTGAGGGTCAAGGGCACTAAACCCTAAACCCTAAACCCTAAACCCTAAACCCTAAACCCTAAACCCTAAACCCTAAACCCTAAACCCTAAACCCTAGAGGGATTTAGGGTTTAGGGTGAGGACTTTTCTGGGGGGGCTTGTGCTTCTAGGTTGTGGTGGTTGACCAAGGCCCCCGACCTGACTGCTTGAAGGGCGAGGTCACGAAACCTGCCGGTCGGCACACGGGGCGTTCTGTCATACCGAACTGCCTTGGGTTTAGGGTTTGAAGGGTTTAGGGATTGCCTCCTTAAAGGGAGGCCTCACCGAACCTTCATGTGTGTATGTTTTGTAGTGGGATCGATGACCCACGATGACCCTCAACTTGAGATTGCAACAGTTGCCTGGACTGCGATGCAGGTGGGTTGGAGAGGGACGGGTGCAGCAAAGAAGCTGAGAGGCAGCGCCTTGTCTTTCCTGGGCTGGCCGGCTGACGAGGTGCAGGGGCTAAGGTTGTGAACGAGGTGCAGGGTTTGGGTCTTACCCTAAACCCTAAACCCTAAACCCTAAACCCTAAACCCTCTTAGGGTACGTCGTACGTAGTATAGCTTACGGCAGCTTAGGGCTCCGGGTTTCATGCTTGGGTTCCGCAGGTTAGATGGGACGTCGCAAGTTCCGGATTTGGAAGTCTAGGCCCCCCCAAGCCCTACATGCAAAACGAAACCCTCAAACCCGAAACCCCATACCCTAATATAAGCCAAAGAACAACCCTAACCCTCAACCCGGTTCCTAAACTTAAACGATGAAACCCCAACCCCAAATCTCAACTTACCCCCCAGCAAAACGTCAACCCCATACCCTTGAACCACCACCCCCCCCCCCCCACCCACCCTTTTTTCCTTCCCCCCACCCCTCAACCCCCCCTCACGCACCCGCCCAAATGCCATCCGAGCATCAGCCTCGTGAAGCCTAGGTCTGTGAGGTCCGGCGCGCGTCCCCCCGGGTGCTCGCCTTAGGGTTTTAGGGCTTAGGGCTTAAGGCCGTTTAGGCTCAGGGTTAGTGGTTTCGGGAGGTTGGTCGGTTTCGGACTTTATGGGCTTCGGGGTTTAGGGCTTTGCTAACCTCGTACCGACCACCACGGCAAGAGCTTGATCCTTTAAGTTCGGATGCACCGGGGTCGTTCCCTTGCAGAACAGCGATTGCAGGGGCGCCCTACTAACCCTAAACCCTAAACCCTAAACCCTAAACCCTAAACCCTAAACCCGAAAACCCTAAACCCTAAACCCTAAACCCTAAACCCTAGACCCTAAACCCTAAACCCTAAACCCTAACCAAGCTCTGGCACTCGACCCCTTTAGTCCTGAATCCCAAACCCCTTAGGAGGGAGGGCACCCTGAGGTACGCTGACTACAGTTTAGGGTTTAGGGTTTAGGGTTTAGGGTTTAGGGTTTAGGGTTTAGGGCTTAGGGTTTAGGGTTTAGGTTTCAGGGTGCGACCCCTAAGCTCTGACTAACCCATTTAAGACACGGACAGTTCTGCTTCCTTTGGTGGTTTAGGGGTAGAAGCGACCGCCTCCCCCCCTGAACTCCTCAACGCTTAAGTGGTCGGAAGGTCAAAGAGCTTAGAGGAGGTTTGGAACTCCAGTGGGTGTATGAGGAGATTTCGGGGGTATGGGGGGTCTACAAGAAGTTCTGAGCACGGGTCACTGCGCAGGATTGGATGGTGTTTCAGGGACTAGGTGGTACTTTAGGGCTTATGCTTGCGCTGCTGCACATGGCCGAGGCGCCTTCTCTTCCTTGGCAAAGCACACCAGGATTTGGGATCGTATTTGGGCGTTCGCATGGATACGAAGACAGGGACGAAAGGGGCTTATGGGGTTCTGCGGGTTCCTTTCAATCGCTGGGCTCATGCTTGGGTGGCTTCGGGTTTAGCCCCAAAACCGAGACCCTAGACCTTAAGATGTCGGGCCAGCATACTGGTTTAGGGTCGACTCTAAGCGCCCACGGACCTGTGCGCCCTACCGGCCTGCAACCCAGCCCTCAGGCCCAGCCTCGACACACACACACACACACACGCACACGCACACGCACACGCACACGCACACGCACACGCACACGCACACGCACACGCACACGCACACGCACACGCACACGCACACGCACACGCACACGCCCACGCCCACGCCCACGCCCACGCCCACGCCCACGCCCACGCACACGCACGCACGCACGCATGCACGCACGCACGCACGCACGCACGCACGCCCCCACGCCCCCCACGCCCCACGCCCGCACGCCGCACGCCCGCACGCCCGCACGCCCGCACGCCCGCACGCCCGCACGGCCCGCACGCCCTCACGCCCGCACGCCGCACGCCCGCACGCCCGCACGCCCGCACCGCACCCGCACGCCCGCCCGCCCGCCCCGCCCGCCCGCCCGCACGCACGCAACGCACACAATAGATTTCTGCAAACACTCTGAGGTTTACGGCTTGGGGTGTCTCGAAGAAACCAAACATTACAGTCCTAAACCAAGACACGAACCTAGAACTCCGAAGGCCCTTCAAAGACACAAGGGAGGGGCATGAGCTAGCGGAAGTAGCAGCAGGGCCTTAGACTAACGTCATACAAGTTCTGCATTGTTGGTCCACAAGCCCCTTGTCTACTTCTTCCTGTAGGCGCTATAACGTAGGCTGGCGGTCATAGCATTCTATAGGCCTTAGAGAGTACAGGTACTGCCTTGCTGGCTGCAGGTAGCCGGTTCGGTTTAGGGTTTAGGGTTTAGGGTTTAGGCTTTAGGGTTTAGGGTTCAGGGTTCAGGGTTTAGGGTTTAGGGTTTAGGGTTTAGGGTTTGGGGTTTACGGTTTAGGGTTTAGGGTTTAGGAGAGGGGGAAGGGGTCCTCTACAAGCCCCCGACCTGTCCCGAGCTGAACCCCTGCACCCGAAACGCGCAGACCCATAATTCATCTCTAAGCCCCCAAGCCCCACACTCCAGCCCCTAAACCCCTCACCCTAAACCCTAAACCCTAAACCCTAAACCCTAAACCCTAAACTCTAAACCCTAAACCCTAAACC